TAAAAGCGACGAGGGGTTGTTGCTGGCGCGAGTGGCGGTGGAGATGAGGAGGTGGCGGAGTTCTCGTTCTTTGTAAAGAGAACTTCTCTGGTAGTCGCCTCCTTGACGTTCCTCTGGGGGGTTTCAAGCTCGCGCGTGGGAGTAAAAGCTGATAGTAGCGTGGGGTGCATATCGAAGGGAAGATGAGAGTGGGTGAAAGGAGGATGGGTGAGTTGGTAGATAGGCAGATGGGTGGTTGGATGGCTAAGTGGTTTGAGGGGATGTATGAAGGGAAAGAGACACAGACGTATGTACGTGAGCAAGGAGCGTGGAAAAGGGCGGTCGGGGAGGTTAGAGGCCGAAGGAGTGGGGTTGTCGAGGTGTGGGTGAGCGAAACCATCGGTGTATTGGGAGAGAGAAAGAAGGATGAAGAAAAGAGAGAAAGACAAGAGTTGGGGAATACAAGATACAAGATAGTAATAGAATGTGGAAAGAAAGATTATACATAGAAAAAGGAAGGAAACAACAACGAGAGAGAAATATATGAACGATAGAAAAATAGAAAACTTGTATCTAGAAAAAGAGAAAAAAGACAGAGAGAAAGAAGAGCAAAGAGTGAGTGAATGCGTGTGTGTGTGTGTGTGTGTGTGTGTGTGTGAGAGAGAGAGAGAGAGAGAGAGAGAGAGAGAGAGAGAGAGAAGTGAATATGTAGTTAATGATGGAAGCGAGAAAATATTGAGATAAAAAGTGAGAAACATGGAAAAGAATGAACAAAAATGAAGAAAACAATAGAAACAATAATACAATGTAAAGACAAATAGAGCCAGAATGTAATAAAGGAAAGATATAGAATATATATATATATATATATATTTCGAAGAAAGAGAGAGCGAGAGAGAAAATGATAAAAGAAATATAATAAAGAAATAAGAAAAATAAATAATCAGAGAGATATAGCTTGAATAGATAAGAATGCTGGAAATGAACAAGACAGAAACGGACGAATTTTAAAAGAAAAAAGTATAAATAAAGACTATATGAATCGTTGAAAAGAAAGACAGAGAAAGATAGTAAGCATACAAGAGGATGAGAAAAGGTAGGATGAGAGTGGAAGGGAGGAAGAGAGGGTAAAGCAGAGTCGACTCGAATATGAGGGTGTCGCGCAAGCCGGTCACGCCGAGGTTTCCATGGCAACGACAGGCGATAAATCAACCCGCAACATCCCCGAGTACCGCCAGATAAAACCGCATACATATATGTGTATACGTATATATACGTGAGAAGAGAAGATACCGACTGGTAACTCTGCGCCCAAAAAGTTTTCCCTTCGACCGATTTATGCCGCCGCTGCTTGCACACCGAACGCCTTGCCATCGAAAAGAACTCTTTTCTCTCTTTTCTTTTCTTTTTTATTTTTCCCTCTCTCTCACGATGGTCATCTCTTTTCGACTTATTCTTGTATCTTTTTCTTCCGCTTCTCTTTATAAACTTGTCTTTTTTTCCCATTCCTCTCTTCATTCCAGTTTCCTTTTCTCTTATTATCTTCTTTTCTCTTGTTTCTTTTTCTTCTTCTTTGTCTTCTTTCTTCTTTTCGTGCATTATCTCGTCGTTTCTTTTC